TCACCTAACAAGACAAACAAAAGTGCTAGGAAATACAGCTTATCCTCAATTTTGACACGCCCATGTGTGAAACTTACATAAAAAGAATGGTGTATATCTGACAACCCCTATCTATAATAGGTATATCTGAACACATTCAAACCCTCAACACTTACCTTTATATTTAGCAGTTCTGTAAAATAAATACATAAAAGCTATGAACTAAAATCAAAGGAAAGAATGCCCTCTAGTGGGAACAGATGTTTAAAAATCCACCGAAATAATATGTAAAGTCTTTTTTCTTTCTTAATTTTCTAAAATAAACAAAGGTTTATTTACTTATATATATATTACGTGTACATTAAATATACATTTATGTATCTTTTAAAAGAAAAACCCAAAGGTTGATACAGCTTTTTCTTTTGATTTGAACGAATTTTTAGGTAGGGAACAGAGAGGTGGTGGGAAGGGAAGGTCGACAAAGGGAAAGCTATCTGTCAAGATACACAGTGAAAAGAAACACAACAGGAAGAGACTCCATCCACCTGAATTTGAAGCCCTGGGATTATTCAGCCTTTGCCACTGACAATCTATTTTGACTTCTAGATGCCATGTAATTTGGAGAGAAGGCTCTCTTTTTACTTCAGTGAATTCTCTCTTCAGGCCCTATGCATCTCTAAATAAGTGTGACTTTTAAAAAAAGAATGTGTGTGTGTTACATGCTATAGAACAATTTTAATATTAAGATCTGCACAGAGAACTATGCCACTAAAATAACTTGACAACGATAAGGGCAATTCCCAAAGAGGCTCTTTGCATTTAGATGGTTGAAGAATCATGCAACCTTCTGAAGAGGATCTCAGATGAACACAAGCAGTTAAAGAAATGAACTACTATAATTCAGTGAACAGCAGAAGTAGCCAGAATTAAAGAAGATGATCAATGGATATTTCTAGAAGCAAAATTGCTGGAACCTAAGACAAATTTTATAATGCTTCACAAGCTGGGAGCCTAGATCAGGAGTAGAAAGCTTCCCCCCTTCTATTAAAGAAACATTGGGGGGCTTCCCTGGTGGCGCGGTGGTTGAGAGTCCGCCTGCCGATGCAGGGGTCGTGGGTTCGTGCCCCGGTCCGGGAGGATCCCACGTGCCGCGGAGTGGCTGGGCCCGTGAGCCATGGCCGCTGGGCCTGCACGTCCAGAGCCTGTGCTCCGCAGGGGGAGAGGCCGCGGCAATGAGAGGCCCGCGTAACGCAAAAAAAAAAAAAAAAGAAACATTGGGGGAAATAGAATCAATCATGCCTTGCAAAGGTAAAGTAACTCTAGGAGTTTGTTTCTTTTTAAAGAAAAAAGAAAGCCCTACTCAATTATTTTTAGAATTAGGAGCAGAATCCTGCACCCCCCCAATTAAATACACACGTAATTCTATACATGTTTATTAAAAAAAAAATCTATGCCATATGATAAAGGGAGAGACTCAAAAGGAGATGGGTTTCCCTGGTGGCACAGTGGTTGAGAGTCCGCCTGCCGATGCAGGGGACACGGGTTCGTGCCCCGGTCCGGGAAGATCCCACATGCAGCGGAGCGGCTGGGCCCGTGAGCCATGGCCGCTGAGCCTGCGCTCTGCAACGGGAGAGGCCACAACAGTGAGAGGCCACAACAGTGAGAGGCCCACGTACAGCAAAAAAAAAAAAAAAAAGAAAAGACCTTTAGGACTTCCCTGGTGGCTCCGTGGTTAAGAATCCGCCTGCCAATGCAGAGGACAGGGGTTCGATCCCTCGTCCAGGAAGATCCCACATGCCGCAGAGCAACTAAGCCCGTGAGCCCCAGCTACTGAGCCCGCGCTCTGGAGCCCGTGAGCCACAACTACCGAGCCTGTGCGCCTAGAGCCTGTGCTCCACAACAAAGAGTAGCCCCCGCTCGCCCCAACTGGAGAAAGCCCGCGCGCAGCAATGAAGACCCAACGCAGCCAGAAATAGAAAAATTTAAAAAAATAAATAAAATAAAAAAAAAGAAAAGACCTATAGTTAAAGAGACGCCAGGGGCAGAGAAAAGAGAAATCAGAAGGAGCGTATACACCTGGGGAGGGTACGATTCAGAAGAACAAGGGCAGGGTGATGGCGAGGAATTTTATGGGAAAACATGGAACAGCCTGGTAAATAGATCTTGTAGTATGTGTGTTCTTCACACTTAGCAGACTTGCTTGAACCTGTGATACATTTACCCGGCCATTTAAAACAACCTTTTCTGTACTGGGACTCAGCTTTCTAACTTCCGGTTTATTGTTTTCAGGTGGAATTCTACAAGTTTGATGACATGTAACAATGAGGAGCAGCCACCTATCCTTCCACTACTATCTATTCTGCGCCAAGATACAGCAGTGAGTAAAGGTCTTTGCTACACAGAGCTATAATACTCCAGTGGTAATAGCAGCAACTTCCATCACTATTTATTGTGTGCCCATTTTCATAATTACTTTATTAATCCTCACAACAAAGTCATGAGGTAGTTGGAAAATACGATAAAACTTCTTTCATGGCTGTGGATGATTCCAAGCTAGTTCATGTCTGTTCAACAAAGTGGACAGAAAGGCAGGGGTTGGACATTATATTTAAGGAGTTCCTTATGCATTTTTTCAGAGGGAAGTTTAATTCATTTCTAAAAGTTTTTAGTGTAGTGAAATTTGGTCCATTTTGGAACAACTGGCTGTTTTCCTTGGTTTTAAAGAACTGTTCTATGCTCTTATTTCGTAGAAATGCATCCCTGGCCTGCGAACAGAAACCTACCTTAGTAACAATGGACTTGCTCATGAGTAAGCTTAGTTAGGAATAGTCTTTCAGAACCTCTCATCTGGAAATAGAGAAGCTTCTATATTACTCAATCTACTATTATACTCAGCCATGATTAGAGCTATTTTCTGACTCACACATAAAACGAAGGAAGAAGAGGTGTGTAAGGAATGCCTGGGACAAAGTGGGAATTCAGTGGGTATCTGCTGAATGAAGTGGATGAAAAGAGAAAGGGACATTTTCCTAGAGTATTTAGATAAGAGCTCAAAAGAGAGAAGGGAAACAAGGATTAATGTGTGTCTATAATAGACCTCTTGATGTAAGAATGACTGAATGATGAAAGTAGGGGGGAAAAAGAAGGGACTGAACAACAGGTACTTGTTTCCCGTAGGAGAAAGGAAAATTAAGTCAGCAAAAATGCTGTGCCGAATACTTCTAGGCATCAGCCCCCATTCGGCAACATTAGCCCAGAAGAGCTTGGCTGCCAGCTGTATAAACGAAGGGTCTGTTCTTGGGAAGCAGGTTTTTTATCAGCCACAGATTGTGTTAACAATTTCATATATAAAAGCCAAAACTAAAATCTCAGTATTTCCAAATATGTGTGCAACTCCATTTAGTTGCTATAAACAATGCACACTAATCAGAAACACTGCCCTGTTTTTTTTTTTTTTTTTTTTTGGTACACGGGCCTCTCACTGTTGCGGCCTCTCCCGTTGCGGAGCACAGGCTCCGGACGCGCAGGCTCAGCGGCCATGGCTCATGGGCCCAGCCGCTCCGCGGCATGTGGGATCTTCCCGGACCGGGGCACGAACCCATGTCCCCTGCGTCGGCAGGCGGACTCAACCACTGTGCCACCAGAGAAGCCCTGCCCTGTTTTAAAGACCCTCCAGGCAGGCCTACAGGGCAAGGGCAGAAAGCTCTAGCCCTCCCAAAAAGACAAGTGCCCTTAAAGAAGGTGGTAATTTTTATTAAAATATCTAGTGATTACATGAGCATTTTGCAGAGCCTTGTAAAGGAGAACACTAGTAAAAAATACATTACGTTTCAAACCTATTGGGACCCGTCTGAAAAATTAAAGCCCTTAAAACAGGTATAAAATGACACAGGCGAGAGAGAGTCATGGACATATATACACTAACAAACGTAAGGTAGATAGCTAGTGGGAAGCAGCCGCATGGCACAGGGATATCGGCTCGGTGCTCTGTGACTGCCTGGAGGGTGGGAGGGAGGGAGACGCAAGAGGGAAGAGATATGGGAACATATGTATATGTATAACTGATTCACTTTGTTATAAAGCAGAAACTAACACACCATTGTACAGCAATTATAACCCAATAAAGATGTTAAAAAAAAATGACATAGGAGACTCTCCCTCAGATCATCTCCACTAACCAATTAGTGTTTAACTGACCTTGCTGCCTCAGGCACCTGCTAAGGGCTTGGTCACTGAACTGTTGTTCTTCTTTTACAGATGAATAAACTGAGGCCCACAAGCACTATGCAGCTTGCTCCTAGGGCGCACCATCATGAAGTGACCAACGGTGATGACGATGATGGGTTACCTACTAAAGCAGATCATCTGACAACAATTAATCTGTTTTTTGTTTGTTTCAGAAATGGATGTCTTTAGAACTTTTATTTACTATGGCATAGAGATATACATTTAATGTCATGTTTATTATTCTTCCCTTAATTCTTTATTTTGTGAGAGACTTTAATTTTACCTACCACATAGCTTCTCTAAAATGAAACCCTGAGATTGAGGAATTACTTTCAAGGCAGGTGTTTTTACATATACATATATATATATTTCCAGAGGTTGATAATTGATCAAACACAGCTCTACCTAAAGTCACTATTTTGTTAAGTTCTTATTCTAGAGTAGTGTTCTCTTAACTTTTTGAAAATCCATGTCCTATATTGGTAAATGTTTAAAAACATCACCATCTCTTTTATTTAAAATTTCAGGGACTTCCCTGGTGGCACAGTGGTTAACAATCTACCTACCAGTGCAGGGGACACGGATTCGACCCCTGGTCTGCAAAGATCCCACATGCCGCGGAGGAACCAAGCCCCATGTGCCACAACTACTGAGCCTATGAGCCACAACTACTGAGCCCACGCACCATAACTACTGAAGCCTGTGCTCTGCAACAAGAGAAGCCACCAAAATAAGAAGTCCGTACACCGTAGCAAAGAGTAGCCCCCACTCACTGCAACTGGAGAAGGCCCGTGTGCAGCAACGAACACCCAACGCAGCCAAAACCAAAATAAAACAAAGACAAAAAAAAAAAACCTTAAAAAATAAAAAAAATAAAATTTCAGTAAGCAAGAAACATGTCAGGCCTCACTCTTTCAAATCACAGCAGAATATCAATATGACTCAAATATATAATTTATTTTTCTTTTTTGGTCTTTTCAAACATAAGGAAATCTGGCATACACACATCTTCAGACATGGGAATCAACAACCTATTATACGTGACATAATCACATAATGAAATTCTAGAACATCGTACTCCAACAAACTGCTATTATCACATATAAGTCCCCACAAAAACAAGTTGTAAAAGGATACAAACCACATGGAAGCATTTATGTAAATTTTAAAATACACAATATAATTAGAGTTTATGGACACATACATATGTGGAAAGCATGCTGAAATGTGAACGGAAAGGATACACACCAGCTCCAAGAAGTGATGGCCTCTGGGAAGTAGGGAGAAAAAGGAAGGAAATAGAATGGAATCAAGAAAGGGTACAAAGTGAAATTCGTCCATATCTGCAAAATCTTTCTTTCTACATGTTTAAAATGTTTCGTTAAAAACTCCACGAAAACCTAACACAGACAAAACTCCCCCAATCCCATCTCAACTTGTACAGTAGCATGAAAGGTTGACAGGATGGCTGGTTTTACACTGAGGTATAAATGGGTAAAATAGTTGACCTAATGAAATTATAGAATAAATCTAATGTTTTTTGGCCCCAGAGATGGATTCTATATCCCGTACTTGTTAATTCTTGCTGAAGTATCAACTAGTCACTGAGTTTCAAGCTAAGCGTTCACAGAATGACTTCTCCCAAGCACAGTGTATAATCTGGGTACGCTAGGCACTGCACAGACAACGTGGACAGCGTACTAGTGGGCACTGACAACAGGCTGAAGTTGCTGTTTAGAATGCCTTCCCATTGCATAGTTGGCCAATGCAGTACAAAGAGCAGTAGGGGACCTCTTGCCTTTCCTGGAAAGACAGACTACATATATTCGTGAGAGAGAAGAATGTCATTTTAAACAACTAAAGGGTGAAACATACTTAATGGGATTTGCCACCCCCCCCACCCCAGAACATCCTGCCTATGGTTTAAACACTTTAAAACTGATCTTCTGCAACTGTTTTAGGGAAAGGGGAAGAAAACCACAAGATGAATAGGGAGGGACCAGAAAACATACTATTTAATAATTATTTGAGCTAGAAATGTCTGCACATTTATTTGTGATAAATTCACAGTCTGCACATGACAGCCCTTTCTATTATAGTGTAAAGGATTTGTCCTGCACGGATATTAGGAGATAATTTTGTATTAAATTACTGTAACAACATTACTTCAATGAACACAAGTTTCTGAGCACCTATAGGCCCACTTAGTGTTTAAAGTTTAATAGGGAATAAAGATAAGTAAACAAGCAATTAAAAGAGAGTATGAAGAGTAAGTGGCAGAGAACTATGGGAACACATCCAACAAATAAGAGCAATATAAGATGACCTGTTCTAGTTGGGAGAGTACAACAGAGCCCCACAATTAGCCTCACCCTGACACAACGCTTCATATCAAGCAGTCCCTGAGGTACCTTCTCTTCAAAACACTGAAACACAACTTCACGTCCCTTTGTTCCATGTTTCCTCCACATAAAGCAATTACTCTAAATCTGCTCTCAGAAAGCCACTACACAGCTTAAGACAAGAATCAAGTCGCTTCTGGGACTTCCCTGGTGGTGCAGTGGTTAAGAATCCACCTGCCAATGTAGCGGACACAGGTTTGATCACCGGTCTGCGAAGATCACATATGCCACGGAGCAACTAAACCCGTGCACCACAACTACTGAGCCTGTGCTCTACAGCCCGCGAGCCACAACTACTGAGCCCGTGTGCCGTAACTACTGAAGCCCATGCGCCTAGAGCCCATGCTCCGCAGCAAGAGAAGCCACTGCAATGAGAAGCCTGCGCACCACAACGAAGAGTAGCCCCCACTCACCACAACTAGAGAAAGCCCGCGCACAGCAGCGAAGACCCAGTGCAGCCAAAAATAAACAAATATAAATAAATAAATTTATTTAAAAAAAGAATCAAGTCACTTCTTCCTCTTTTCTTTTTTTTTTTTGGCTGTGTTGGGTCTGTACAGGCTCTGTACTTGTGGCGTAAAGGCTTAGAGGCTCTGCGGCATGTGGGATCTTCCCGGACCAGGGACTGAACCTTTGTCCCCTGCATTGGCAGGCGGATTCTTAACCACTGCGCCACCAGGGAAGTCCCCTTCCTCTTTTCTAGGCGAACCGATTTTAAATCTAACAGGTCTTCAAAAATCCTACCTTCAACTGTTACGTTATGTTTGTGTCTGCTCTAGTTCCTTCACTGATTTTAAAGCAAAGAGACCTACAACAGATATAAAACTCTGGAGAGGACTAGGAATAACTCAAAGTACAGAGAATGCTCTAGCACTGGAAGAGAAAAAGCGGTTTATGTCTGGCTTAGAAAGCACACTAGCCTACTTTGGATGTTAGGTCTGAGGCGATCATGAGTCATGCAAGGTGCAAGGTACTGTAAAGTATTAGGTTGATCTTTGGGAGATTTCCTTTGAGAGAGGACATGTCTTTCTACCACTGAGAGTGACACACAACAGTATGGAATAGAAAGAAGTAAAGGACTAGGCATAAAGGCAAAATGAGAAAAATAGGCAGTGCTTGTATAGTCTGAAGCAAATCTCTAGGAAATCAAGTTAACTAGTACTTAAATATAAGTATCCAAAACTAAAAAACAAAATAAGACATTGGCTTTAACATAATTTATTTTTTTGGCCACATCGCACAGCCTACGGGATTTTAGTTCCCTGACCAGGGACTGAACCCGGGCCCTCAGCAGTGAGAGCACAGCGTCCTAACCACTGAACCACCAGGGAATTGCCTAACAAATATTATTCATGTTTCTTCTTCCCTCTGTTTGTGAACATTTTTAGCCATTATTCTAAGCATGGCTCCAGTAGGGCACCATCCAGAAAATGCACCCAGGTTGACAATATATCCATAATGACTTGAAAATGCAACACTCAAAAGAATAGTTGCCCCACTTAAAAAGACTATGGCAATAACTACAACCTAAAAATTCAAGCACAAACTTCAAGAGCATGTAAACGAATAACTTTATCAGCAAGGATTTGAACCCTGCCTGACTGCGAAGAAATTACTTAACTGGTCTTTGCTTTCCTCATCAACTAAAGAAAAAAAAAAAAAGCATATACTAATCTCTCTATATTGCAGGGCTGTAACAGGAACGTAAATGTTAATTTCTCTTCCCTTCCTTCACACTTCAAGGTTGTGTAAAGTAAAGTAGGGTGCTGGTTAGTACTACTGTTTCTCAGCTCCAAGTCTACCCTTCTCTATTCTTTTCTGCAATGATGGTCCAGGAGGTGGTCCTCAATGGGGTCATTTTGCCTCCCCAGGGGATAGCTGGCTATATATGGAAACATTTGGGGGTGGGGTGGATACTGGAATCAAGTGCATAGAGGCCAGGGATGTTGTTACTAAACATCCTACAAAGCACAGGATGGCCACCTGGCCCAAAATGTCAGTGGTGCTGAGGCTGAGAAACAATGGTCTAGGGTTTGCAAACTCAAGTTATTCATACTCCCTTGGCAGCTGGCTTCTGGTTCACGTTCTGCCAATGGGAGGTTAAAGAGGGAGAGAGAAAGCACCCCTCCAGCAGCAGAGGGGTTCTAGCACCAAGCTCTTCTGGCATTCTCATCACCAACCAGCTGAATCCACTCAAAGGCCAAGCACCAGCTGTGTAGAGATGGGCCTGGGGAAGTAGGAGTCTCTGAACTCCTAAATTCTAGTAACCCCATCTTTCCCCTTTTTGCAATGATAGAAATATCTCTTTATCCGTGCTGTCCAAAGCCATCAGTCTTTAAAAATCCCTTGTCAGCTTACAGAGCCTAGAAGCAGTGCTGGTCCAGCAGCAATGAGCCCACCAAGCAACCAGATCTTGGTTTCCATTATCCTCCACTAAGAGGAACCAGAGCTCCTTGGAGAAATGGATGATTCCAGAGGTTAGGACAGGGTGAGTACGTGAGGAGCCTGTAATGTCTAAGGTCTAGAATGAATGATCCAGAAAGAGGGTACATGTCAAAAGGACACAGAAGAAACCTGAATGGGGTTTCCACTGTCCAAATCTGGGATAATTTGAGCATCAAAATCAATAATAAAAAAATAATGCCCACTGAATAATACAGAAATCCACGTGTCCACACTGATATGAATGAAGAAATAAATTAAGGAGAAGGAAACAGGAAAAAAACGTCCATGTAGTAGATATGCTGACTAGAATTTACATTCCAACTCCTAGTTCACCAGCACTGGAACTGCACTGTCCAGTATGGCAGCCACTAGACGCATGTGATTATTTAAGTGTAATTTATTAAAATAAAATAAAGGGAATTCCCTGGTGGTCCAGTGGTTAGGGTTCCACACTTCCACTGCAGGGGGCACGGATTCGATCCTTGGTCGGGGAACTAAGATCCTGCAAGCTGCACAACACAGCCAGAAACAAACAAACAAACAAACAAAAACAAATAAAATTAAAAATTCAGTTCCACACTGAATTGCACAGCTGCATTTCAAGGGCTCACATGGCTAGTGGCTATTGCATTGGACAACAGTGCACTGGACAGTGGCATTTAAGACTGAACCATAATTCTGTGATGATAAGGTCTAGAACAGATAATAAGGTAAGACCTAATTTTGTTCTTTTCTGAAAATCTTAAAATCTAGTATTGGAATTTAAAAAAGACAATTTCATAAGAATAGGGACAACACAAATAAATAATAGCAACAAAATTTTGGAAGCTGGGAAGCAGATGGATGAGTGGTAATGGAGTTAGGAGGTTGGAGAAAGCTGAATCCTTGTATGGGTAAAGGGGAAAGCAAAAAAACCACCCAATTTACAGTACACATTCAACAAAATGTCTAGGACTGGCAGCATCAGGTATTGCTGGAACTTGGATTAGAGTGGAAATCATTTAAAGATGAAAGATGTAAAAACTCTTCCAGAAGCAGTTAAATTTGTAAGTTGCCTTTCCAACATATTCTACTCCAAGTGGAAATAGGAAGTTTATTCCTTAAAGAGGGTAAAACAGAGGGCCTCTGACCTAGGGAACTCAAGGCACTGTTGACAACAGAATAATATGCAAGTATTACTGAAAAGAGAAGAGTCTGAGTTAAATCTTAACTAAATTATTTCCAGAAGGAGAAGGTGCAGGAGGGAAAGAGAGAGAATAGAACGTTAAAGAGAAGAAAACTGGAACCCAAATCTAGACGTTTCAATATCCTGAAAGTGACCTTACACATAAAGGAACTAGAAAAAGAAGAACAAACAAAACCCAAAATTAGTAGAAGAAAAGATATCGTAAAGATGAGAGCAGAAATAAATAGAGACTAAAAA